GACCGTCGAGACCGGCAAGCAAGCGAGGTGGAGATCTCAATGTCCTCGACGGATCTCAATAGGTCTCCTCGGGAGGGATTCACTCTGAATTTTCTCTTCCAAACCTTCTGCGAACCTTTCTCTTGTTGACTGAAGAATGTTTTCAGGTGAGCGTGCTCTATGGCGTGCCACAGTTCTTCGTCTTTGTGAGCTCCGAACGGGTCGAGGTTCAAGCGCAGAGCTCCGGAGAACAATACAGGATCTTGTGGAATGATCGAGAGCTGCGATAGTCAGCGAAGAGACGATCAGATATCTCAATCACAGGATCAGACCAGGGAGTTCTTCCATCGAATCGGTCGAATCACGGATCGTTCACCACTTACCTTCTTCCGTAGATCATGGAGACCGATGTCCGCTATCGGGATGTCGTCGATGACTATTCTCCCTTCAGAAGCTTCAATGATCCGGAAGAGTGCAAGAGTTAATGAGCTTTTCCCCGCGCCGGTCCGTCCGCAAATACCCACTCTTGCACCGGCCTCGATCTCGAAGTTTAAGCCGCGAACTTCTCCATGAAATTTGCAAGCGCATTCGCATCATGTATCATTCGTAAATTCTATCGTATATCATGATTCTGAAATTCCTGTCACGCCCCTGGATTCTCCGATCGCTCCTTCGGGGCCTTTCACCGGAAGCTCCCCTTGCCAAGGAGCAAGGAGCTACGGAGCCTTCCTGGCCAGAGTCCGAGCTCAGGACGATTCGCAGACTCACCCACGAGAGCGGTACATGACAACTCGATGCCGGACAACTCGATGCCGACAATTCGATGCCGTCAACTCGATGCCGGGACAACTCGATGCCGGGACAACTCGATGCCGGGACAACTCGATGCCGAGACTAGTCGATGCCGGACGAATCGATGCCCGATCGGGACACCGACAGATAGTCGTTCTGGAATAACACCGCCTCAATAAACTTCTGCTTAGTCACAGTTAAGCACGATTTTCCGTGATTTTCTTCGGAAGCAAATCAATCAGAATCTATTCGACCTATCGATCAGCTTGTCCTTTCACAGACACGCGGTACAGTGCTGCCAATCACGGGAGAAATCTGGTCATTCAAAGGATCTGTGGAGGAGTCCGCATACTAGCGAAAAGTTCAGAGCGTGGAGTGCACATCTAGAGATGTGGGACTGCCGCGTCGAGAGGTTCCCTTAATCGTGGATGAGCGAGAGTAGCGGTGAAGCCGAGTTGCGCTCGATTTTCGAATTGAAAATTTCCCTAGGTCAGACGGGGCCAAAGTGTTTAAGTCTCAGTGTGCAACACTGGTCGCGGAATGAGTTTCTAGTTGAAATTCTTATGTAAGCGATCGACGGGCCTCATTCGGACTGCTCAAATGCAGCTCTGTCTAGTTTCCCGGCACCGAGTTGTCCGGCATCGAGTCGTCCCGGCATCGAGTTGTCCCGGCATCGAGTTGTCGGCATCGAGGTGTCGGCATCGAGGTGTCCGGCATCGAGGTGTCCGGCATCGCCACGAGAGGTAGACCTTCTCTGTACCTGGTGGAATAGTTCTCGAATTGAACGGCTCCTCCCGATGGCCAGCCTTCGAGGGACTTGTCCGTGGTCCAGTCGGCCTAAAGAGTCGCGAATACGTGAATTCGCGCCATGGATATCGTTCGAGCTCAATTGCAAAACCTCGCAGCTCCTAAATGTCATGCGAACACACCTCGCTCTCTAGAGATATGTACTCCGACAGCCTCTCCACGGAGACTTAGATTTTTACTTCTAAATTGGCGCTTGATCTTATGAAGGCATCCAATTATGAAGGCATACTACAATATCGCTAAGACGCCCAATGTAGATATCCTCGAAGTAATTCAGAACGGGAATCAGCTCGGCGGGCGATGTAGGGGACAGTTCAGCAACAGCGTTATCGAATTCTGCCGGCACGGCAAAGGCAAGAGCAGCGATAACTCTTGCCTTAAGCGAAAAATCATCGTCGTTCTTGTATCGACCCCGAAGTCCCTCCTGGGCTACGCGGAGCTTGATGTTCTTTATGAGGTGGAAAAAACATCCGTGAATAGAAGTCTCTGGCGGGGAACGAGCTCTGATCGCATTCATCATGGCTCACACGAAGTCCATGATGATGCTCGAAGGACTCAGAGCGGGCCACGCGTTTTTCCACAGGCTCAGCATTCTTGTGTACGATTCTTACCTCTTATCAAGGAACAGAGCGTACGCGACCGGCGTAACGCACCTCGACCGCTCAGCGAGAACTACGAACACCTAAGAACATAATCATATTTTACCATAAGAGCCGCGACATGATTCTGGAGAGATCTTCGATCGCGAATCATGCGATAAGAACCTGTGCAAAGAACGGTGGAGCGCTGAACGCGCCGCCGACGTACAACTTGTCGACTAGACCGGTCCAAGAGCTCGTCGACTCTCTGCCGAAGATGAGTATTCGATTGGAGTCCCTTGCGCCGCTGACAGCCAATAGGAAGCTCTCGAAAACTCCGGGTTCGCTCTCATACATCCGGTACTGCTCCGGAAGTATGATGGAAGCCCAACTATCGGGGTTGTTCGGAGCATTCGAGAGCGCGTTGCGGTGCCGATCGATCAATCGAGATATAGTCGGCGGTCTCGGTAAGCGACCCAGCGTAGCTGCCGTAGCATCCGACAGTGCAGCCTCGATCAAAGAAGATGGGGTCTCGCTGGTCTCCCCGCATCGCCGCTTGATTCCGGTGGTGAGCCTCGCGATCTCTACACCTGAAGGGTCTGGCGGGTCCGAATGCATGCCCTTAGCTCCGAGCACCTCTCCTGTCCTGATCGAGCTGTGGAGATTTGCTTTGCAGCGTTTTGTAGCCGTCTTATACACGGAACGGTACGTCTGTATGCCAGATTTCGAAGCATATCCGTTCACGTAGAGGTGTCCTTCATCACCGGATGTACTTCGGTCGGATGACACTTGAACCTTTATCCGATCGAGCCGGCACAACAGAATACTTCTCATATCCGGTCATTTTGCCCGGTTGGTGTTTGCCCTGTTGGTACTTGCCCAGCTTGATTTTCGCGCAGTTCGTATTTGCCCGGATTGTCTCTGCCCAGTTTGCTCTTGCCCAGCTGGCTTTTGCCCAGTTGGATCTTGCCCGGTTGGTTCATTTGCCCAGATGGTTTTCTCCCAGTTGTCCGAGTCCGGGTTTAGCGGACGGATGGGATCCACTCACCGGTTACCCTCAGCTCTGGGCTCGATTCTGACAAAAGAAGGATGAAGTCGAAGTCGAATAATCAGCATCAAAAAACGAACTCTAAGCTGCCGCGGAACAGGCTGAGTAAACGCTCGATATCGACCTGATCCATGACTCGATAGGCTGATTCAGATCAGCGGTTGGGGCTTTGAGAAATCTCAACGTCCCCCACATTGTTCCCATCTACTGGAATTGAATCATATTCGAGACACTTTGGCGATGGAAAAGAAAATATTCTTTTGAATCCCCGCATCTTGTACCAGAGGGTTCAAAATGGACCACTTTATTCTCATCCGAAGCTTTTGAAAAGCTTCGATCCGTCCGGATGAGCAGATGATACCATTATTGGACCGTTCTGATGAGGAAGTAGTTGGATAGCTTATCAGTGATGAATGATGAGTCATCATCCGAGACCCATCTCAGGCTCGCTGAAAGAATCTCTCAAGCGGCCCCGCTCGTAGCGAAGGCATCACTCAATCAACCTACCGGACGACGAAATAAAATCTCGGAATTAGCCGCTTGGATAGTGATTCCTACTACGGCAAACGAGCTCATGTAGCCTCTCCTAGGGAACGATTTTTCGTCGAGTGAAATAAAGGCTTCTCAACCCAACCGCGATGGCCTCAATCCACATCATTGACTCTAAGCTCGGAAGGAAGCAGCGGAAGTGTATCATCAGGTACACAAAAAGGTTCTCAGGCAACGAACTCTCCGCTTAGCAAGCGGCTCCGATGAATGGAATCAGGTGGCCTGCCGAAACAGGGTTCCACTGCATTCCCTCCAACGTAGAATTCTTTGAGGAGTTTTTCCGAGTGAGTCGAAGTTCCCGTATCGGAGATGAACGCTACCTTGCCAGCTCCTCAGAATCACCAAGGAGGAAGAGCATCCCACAAGCAAACCGTTCCTCAAGCACTGAATGATTGACATCCCTCTCGCTAAGCGATTGGCACAGTTGTACGGAATCTCCCTATGCATCGAGCAACCCTCATTGGTCTCGCCGCAGAGTACGACTTCCTAAGAAGAGCAGATTCGTCCTTGAAGGAGGGAGGCTAGCTTGGGCAAGTGAGACTTTCAAGCACATTACAGATGCATGGATTTCTACGCTTCCACATCATGAATGAGACATTATCTTCGCTCGAAGACCTATGAGATGTTGTAGTAACAACTAATTACCTAGCTGAATTAATCCTGCACATGTGTCTCACAACAAAACCCCGGAGATCTCTACTGGTTCCGATTCCGGATGCATGCCTCCGCACATGCTGTATTCGGAGGGCATTCCCGTCTATTCTTCAACATCCTCTAACCTGCTCCGCAGATCGAGGGGTGCCCTCATGAGGAAAGGTGGTCGCCGATTCCGTCAACTGGCAAGCGCCCTCTTGTATATTCGATCGCACTCATCGTGCGGGTCAAGTATTCATCGTACGCCGCAATCATTCTAGTAAATATTTGATTCGCGCGGTACATCGTTATAGATTCGTATAACAAAATTCTTCCGGCGGCCCTTGACATTCAGAAACATGAGCGTAGCTTGCTCTCGCTCACGTCACAGGGACGGAGAATCGGAGTCAAAGTGTCGTCCCCGAGCGATGCTCTCGCGTCCAAGCCCAGCGCCGGCGTGCTTTGGATCAAGCCAGGGGAACGCCTGGTGCCCGTCCACGACGGGGCGCTCTTCTGATAAACAGTGTCCATATGAAACAAGTGATACGTTGCATGCCCCTCTGAATTTGATCTTCCACAAGACTCTATGTATTTCACAGGAGAGTCAGACGCGCTATGCGATCTTAGAATTAAATATTCAATTTATTGCGGTAGGAGGGGAACGCCAATTCGTCCAATGCTTCTTCCGGAACATGGCAGCGTATCCATCAGAACCCTGGGAGAGACTCGAGGAGCGTAAAAAGGATTTCACGCTCATTTTCCACTGAAAGAATGACATGTCTTGGAATGAGCGAGAACTCAGTTGCCGGCTCCTCTTGGTCGCAGTAACACGAGGATTTACTCACAGGTTTCAGCCAAGCCGAAGATGTTGAAATATGTCAACACTTCGATGATGGGATCCGTTATTAAAGCTGCAAGAACACCGTTAGGATAATTGTCGATTGTTGGAGATCGCTATCCCATTGAGCAAGCGACATAAACAGAATTTTCTCGGACTCACAGATAACTGTTTCGAGGTCTTGAATAATGGTGATCTGCGGTTCTTGGGCCGAGACCGATACGACGGTCAGAATGAGAAGGCAGAAAGCTGGAGACCACTTCATGTTGATTCCGTTCGAATGAGTCGAATGAATAAAATGAGTCGGAGAAGACGTTGTCGTAGAAAGCTGAGTATTGGTCTGGCTCCTTCGCCTCCGCGTGATGGATCCGGGGAACTGCAGAGTGTTAACGCTCTCAAATAGTGTAATCTGACTCCTACATCCTATATTCTGAGGCGCATCAGTGGGGCTGCGGAATTAGCGCGGTCGCGCCGGGAGCCGTAGATTTCCACGGTATTTTCAGGCGATCCTCCATAGGAAGTCAATTGGAATTAGAATTTCCGAGGGAAACGCCGTGTAGGATTCCAAGCCTTGCGCATGAGTGAAAGTGAGCGTCCCCCCGAATCCGTCGATGAGGGATAGTGGTCAACGTATAGCCAATCTATAGTGACCTGCGGGTCGAATCCTTTTCGTCGATGCGCGGAAGATTCACTCGTTTGCTCCGCGTTGTTCTTCCGTCTCGAAACGGACTTTCCGATTTGAGTTCTTCCTTCGAAAGCATTCTGAGACTCCGTCGGAATCATGGTCCAGACACGTTTCGAAAACATCCGTCCGAATGCTAAGAGCAGCATACCGCAATCTTCGTACAGACGGAGACATGGAAGATATAAAGGCTGGAGCTGACGACATTGGGTGTGTGGGCGACTAATAATTCCTCTGAATTCTCCTGAAGACCGGTTCCCTTCCGGTGTTTCCTCCTGTGGAAGGAGCCGAGGGGACCAAAAAGATGGGAACGGGTGATTCTTGGTTTTGAAGCGAATTTCCGGTCATCTGAGAAGTGGCGGGGGAAGCGAGATGGGTAGATGTTCAAGGCTAGAGTAGGAGAAAAAATCATACTGCGGGGAAATCAGATGTGGTTTCCCAAGGGGTAGGGAGAACACAGGTTAGAGCTCGAGGCTCAAATCTCCGGAGCCGAAATCGCGGAAGCTAGGTTAATGAAGGCCGGAAGAGCGTAACCCAGGAGTCGTGGAAGCCGGAATGGTGAAAGCCAGAAGTTGGGGAAGCCAGAATGGATCTCAAACGCGTATCACACTCCGTCGACAGAGATCTCTGCGCTAGTCTGGGATCTCCGAGGAACAAAACCGATAACTTCGATTTGGCAGTCATCGCTGCAGCTGACCGCAACCATTGTATTGTGTTGATGAGCTGTGGTCGCGAAGCTGTGAGCCTTGGGACTTGGCGAGGAAAATGGATATTGCTCTGCGAAGTACACATGTTCTGTCTCCAAGCTCTTGGCTGGAAACCCGCGAAGTATCGCGCGTCAACTACGTTGAATGGCGAGCCATCAATCAACATCCACGTTGATCGAAAGAGCAATGGTCCAGGATTTCGTATCTCCCAAGACATTATCCTGCGGTCCATACAAAGAAATCCTCTACAAACTACGAGCGATTCGCGATACTTCTGACATGTCCGTCCGAATCGAGCTCTTCCTCACTCGCAGTCGCTTCGGGGCGGGAATAGCTGATTGTGAGCTCCTTTCTATGCTCAAATCCTCATCGGTGCTACCTGGGTTGAGGAGTCGTAAATCGTATTCTCGGTAATCCGATGGGGCAGCATCCAGAAGAGATTTCCTCAGGAGAAAAACTGGAGCTCGACCCGTAACCGCATGTCTCGTCCTCGCAAGCCCATTCTTCGACGAATGGTGCTTCCTCAGGAGCTGGGCCATTCTGTCATGATTGAAGAAGTCGTCCTTATTCTCGGACTCACGGACACCCGGCAGGTGCTTGGGTGTTGGACACAGACGGGCTACTCATGGCCTTCTTGGAATCCAAGGGTTTCCGCGCGAATTGGCGTCCATGCTCGTGAGCTGTGAGGCATCGCAAGAAGCCTGGAGACGGACAGTTCGGTTTTCGATATGGATCAGCAATGTTCGTCTCATCCGGCGGCTCCCGAATATCCAATCAATCGGTCCACACTGGGTTTTCCGGAGGACCGCGCTTTGTGGAAGAGCGACGAGATCGGCAACACATCACGCCCTGCATCGAGCATCGGAATAAGGCAAAATGAATGCCAAACAATCAAGGCCCTCACGCAAGATGATCGATTCATCATAACCATGCGCATGTTTTTGAAGGATTTCCATCGATTCGGTCGTCCTTTCGTGCAAGAAGAGCGGAGATTTCAGGATTAGCGATACCCGTTCTATTCACATTCGGAGCATCCTGACTAGAAAAGCATCTTACCGATCTACTCACAGAGCCACCTTATTCTGAGCATATCATGCTACCTAGTGAGTAGTATGCAGACTCAGTCAGGCAGCCCGGCCTTTCCTCATGCTGCAGAAGTAGGCGTTTTCCGGCCAACTGGAACACCCAAGTCCTGTCCAAGGGAACTGGATCCAGAAGATGGCACAGAGAAAAGTAACAGATCCCTCGTGGGCCTGTTGGATAGATCATGACCGACCGGCCAGAGCGCTTGGAGTAGACGTGTACCTCCGCGCCATGGATATTCGGCTTCCTCGATAATCTTCGCGGGGGAAAATGTCGACAGCTCGGAAGATCGGTCAGTGTGGTCTCAAGACTCATGCTCGGTGCAACGAACAGTCGTTGCAGAGAATCGATTCAAAGGACCGCGCTGCAGGGAGCTACCCTCTCGAAGTTCACGAGTCGATCATCCTATGCCGTCTTACCTGGGTGTCCCTCGTTCGGAGAATCAGGGAGCTGGTCTCCCTGGTAGTTGGCTCTCTCCGCCGCCTCGTGAAGCTCGCGTCGCACTGCCTCGCTGGGCTCTTTACGGCTTATCACGTACCCTCGGATCGGTTGGGATAAATCACTCAGGATACCATTGGCGCCAACGAGGTGTTTACGGATCCTTCACAAGAATTGGAATCATCATCCAAAAGTTCCCTTCCTCGAGCGAGATTCATAAATACTACGGGGAGGAAGTCCGTAAGCGTCTTAGGAGACACATTTGGACCGGAACTGCCAACCATTACATGTTTTCGCATCAGACTGACCAAAACATGATCTCTCAGGCTTCACCATTTTTCATTTTTTTTCCCATAAGAGACAGACTATAGAGAATCGTTCGTTGTCTCTTGATGAATCTCATTTATGATGGGCGTTCGCGAGTAGTTCGAGCTTGCGCTGAGGCGTTTTCTGAGAAATGGGTTGGGATGAGCCAGCATGCTCAGAAAAGATGTGACTCCGAGAGCGATTGTTGGGAAGAGAAGAATGTCTCTCTCCGTTCCGCGTTCACTGAGGAACTTCTTGAGGTAGACTGCTCCTTTCGCAATCTCACAGGCAGCAATCAATTCGGATTCTGTTCATGAGAGAGAAACTGAAGTTTGTCGCCGACAATGCCAACTGACGGGACTCTTACCAGAGCGAGCTACTGAGCCAGAGACCGATTTCCGGGAGAGTGGATCGCAGGCGTAGTCCGCGCCGGAGTAGAATTCATATATGTCAGGTGCGCTCGACCTGGACAGAATCCCGTAGTTCGTCGTTCCTCGCAAGTATCGTAGGAGAGAGGCAGCTGAATTCCATCTCTTTTTAATTACTTAGTGTAGAAACCTTGACCGGTCATTGACGACGAAGCAGATGTCTGGTCTCGTAGAATTTGGGAGATAGATTAGACATCCGATGAATTCCCGATAAGGAACATCTGTCAAGTTTCCTGAGGTGTCCTCCGAGTAGCAGTCTCGCTGGATTGGAATTTTCGTCGGTCGGCAGTTGATCATCCCGAACCTTTCGAGAATTTCCTTGACGCAATTTTCTTGATGGATGAATGTGCTCTTATCCTTGCTGATCTCAATTTGGATTTCCAATAACATTTCTGCTGGTCTGTGGATGGTATCTGATTTCTTTTCCAATTCTGTGCAGAATTCTACGATTGTTTGCTCAGAGTCAGCGGTCAGGATTGCGTCGTCCACGTAGAGGCTAAGCATGACTTTGTTCTTGCCATAGAAGACGCATGGGTGCTGGCTATTCTGTTGCATATTCATAGCCGAGAATGCTGACTCGATTTTCGCGTGGAAGCATCTCGGAGCTTGTCTGAGACCGTAGATTGATTTCTGCAGCAGACATAGTCGATTCGGTCCGTCGGAAAATCCTTCCGGTCGATCCATCGAAGTTTATTCTCCGAGATCTCCGTAGAGGGACGCAGTTTTCACGTCCAGGTGATAGATTGGCTGCTTCTCTCTTGCTGCGATCCTAAGTATGACTCTCAGGGATTCGAATCGACTTGCGAGAGAAAATATCTCGGAGTAATCGATGTTTTTTCTCGCTGTAAAAAGCCTTTGGCTACTAATCTGCTTTATATCTCAGGATTTCCCCAGTGGGATCCCTCTCGTGTTTGAATACCCATCGGCAGGCGATTGCTCTTCTACCACGTGGTAATTCAACAAGTTCCCAGACCTTCCGATCGTCCATCGACTTGAGTTTCTACGAGTTTTCGATGGTTTGCCTTTCTGTAGAGGACAGATACGAGATGAATCTACTAGGAGCCTTTCTGAGAGTCTTCCCGTCACGGAGTTGTCTTGGTTCATAGCGTCCAGGACCTTGATACCGCTTGGCTAGAGGTTTCTTCGGTCTGACAGATGGACCGGGAACTTCCTGCAAGGGATTCACTTCATTACAAACTTCTTGACTTTGTTTCGGAGCTGTGGATTCTTCTTCGTGTGATTCAAGCACGGCTTCCTCTTCACTTCATGAGTGTGAGGTATCATCTTCACGTCATCCAGGCGTGGCATCTTCATCTTGAGCTGAAGGCTGTCGATTTTCGTGGTGCGATTCCGGCGCGGATTCTTTTCCCGGGATTGAAGCGGGGGCGCCCCTCCCCCCATTCGCACGATATGAGCTGTCTTCATCGGGTTTTTTCTTGGTTTCATGAGTACTTTGTTCCGAGAGTCGTGCTTTACTGGCAGATTCGAAGGGACTTCGTTTCGGGAACACAACGTCTTAGGTTCGCTTCACCTGGGTGGTTCCTCCACTAAAGATGCGGAAACCATCAACATCGTCGCCAAGCGCGACGAGGACGCCAGGCTTACCCCTGGGGTCCAGCTTGTTTCTGGACGAGTCGTAGTAGCAGTTTGGTGCTGATGAGCAGCGTTCTGGTTCTGACCGAGTCGAGAAGCGTGCAGTTGCTTCGTTCGGATGCTCCATTCTGCTGGGGCGCATACGGGCACGAGAAGGTGTGATCAGCACCTATCCCGTTCAGGATCTCGCAAACACGAGAATTGTTGAATTCAAGACTGGGTGGAGTTTGGATATCTGTCGTCCGTTTAGTTTTGATGGGACAGACAGTTCGAAACTTGGAGAATTCATCTATTAGGCACAGGAAATGGAGCACTCGTCCATAAGACGGAACGGGTAGCGAGGCCACGTCCGCATGGATTGTCCCGGATTGACTAGCTCGTGCTCTTCGAGGTTTCACTCTGCAAGTTTCGCGATGCATTCTGCCTTGAATGCATGCTTCGCACGATTCGAAGTCGTCGATGAAAGGTATATCTGCTTGTTTGAGAATCATCTTCACCTTTTCTTTGTTGATATGGGCGAAGGCTTGATGTGCTTCCAGAAAGGATATTGGTGTGATTTCGCTGGGATCCTGAATTTCAGGATTATTGGACTCGGTCTGCAAGGAGCTTCTTCCGTATCAGCATCTGTTCCGATTCAGTGCTGATTTTGTAGGTCTCATCTGCTAGAAGACCTGTCGAGACTAAATAACCGACTCCGTGAGCCGAAGTCCGAAATCATTCGACATCAGCAACGAATCCTTCACTCTTACTTTGGGCATCGATGACTTCATAACCGACGGTCCGGCCTCGGACTACAGAGATCCGGAAGCTCTGAGGAGGGACGCCGTCGAATAACCCAGGGGACGCTATTGGAAAATTTCGGATGTACCGAGAAAGAGGTTCCGCTCGTCCAGTTGAGGAGCTGAGGAGGGAAAAAGCCAAACTTCTGACTATGAGGAGAACTCTTTCAATGGCGTCAGAAAACACTGATTGTGTTCCATTCGAAAGGCCTAGCCCGAATCGGATTACATCCTGTCCAGAATGAACATCGAGATTGCGGCCCGAATAGGGATATCCGATCTCCTAGGATCGGACATTGACTCACTCCCGTTCTTGCGCACGGCGAGCTCAGATTCCATCTCTGTACCTGAGTTGACCAGGTTCCTGGAGCGGAGCCGTCCTCGCACATCTCCGCGATCGGACCCCAGATCGAGTGTCACCGGGGGTCTCGAGAATTGGAAATTTAGCAGTGAGAATCGCCTGAACTTGGATTGAATCTGTGACTCCCCAGAGAAAAATATTATTTGAAGATGCTTCTTTCCCCTTCTGTCTTTTGGCTGTTCCGGATCTCCCGCGTCTCTCGAGAGACACTCAGTGACTGACCCACCATGGCCCCGGTGTTCTCTCGTCTCTCCTCGTCCAATGTTCCATTCACCCTCGAGATCGGTGGTCGGATTCTGTGATCTTCTTGAATCATGTACTCGACTGAGCGGATTCTGTCTTCCCTGGTTTCCTGTATCCTGAGAGAATTCAAAGATGTCGACTATATTCATGCGAACTCAGCTCAGATCTGATGAATCGCGAGCTCTCCTCAATTTTCCCAGCTTCCTACCATGTGCTAGCTATGACTTTATTCATTAGAAGCTTGAAAATAATCAGATGAACTTGATGAATTTCCAGAACTTTCACGAAGGTTGTAGCACATTCGATTCCTTATACCTTCTGATGCCTCCAGTCCCCGGGCGATAGCGGATGCGCAGCGAACAATTTCACCCGCACTGCTCCATTCCGCATCCTGATTGCATCAGCTGAGCGACAGCTGAACTTTTCTCCCGTGTGGATTCGATTCGGGGACAATTGGAGTTCCTGATGCTCACCACGCAGGTGTTCTCTCCAAATCAGCAAGTGCTCTGAGTGACATAATGCTGATGCGAAATGACTCATGGTCATCGACTAGGAGCCCCAAACAGACGAGATCTCATCGCGAACTTGGTATCAGCAAGCAGGGACGGGGACGGTCATTTCCCTTCCACTGCGTATCGATTCTGATCCGACATCGCCGATAGCTTGCATCTCCGGGCGTTGAGCAACGGCGACCACGATCTGACGCTTCGATGCTTGTGGGTGATCTCGATCCCCCTATCCCCCTACTCTATAAAACGCGACGAATCACAAGATGAAGCCTTAAATATCTCTCGATTAGCTCAAAATCTACACGACAGCATTGTCTATACGTACAAACTCGGAAACGTGTGTCCGCATTCCGACACCTCCCCCCCCTGCGAAGAAGAATTTGCACAGCTCGGCCCTACTTCCGTGAAGCGGTCATGGAATCACTGCGCTTGCCTGCGTGCCGCGCATGAAATTACTGCACGCGCACGCTGTGGTGCCGGTGGAGCGCGTTGTACATGGCAGAATGGCCCTCATAGCTGGAGTACTGATACTCCGACAACTCCGTTTCTCCACAAGGAATCCCTCGTGACTGAAGTATAACTATACTGCATCTCCCCATCCGGATTTCCATCCGGATAGCCGCCGGCCAGAGATCACTCTGCAATTTTCTCCTCATGATTTCGATCCCGATGGCCACCGACCAGGAATCACTATCGTACTATTTCTTTCTCATGATTTCGACTTCAACTTCAGCCAACCGGCCACCGTTCAACGGAACTCCTCGGCTTTACTCTCGACTTTCTCATTTATTCTTCCTCAAGACTAAGCGTTCAGAAAGCCCGTTACAATTATGCTCCAACGACCGCCTTTATTTTTTTTGAAACCCGGTTAGGCTTTTTCCGCAGGCCTGCTGAGGTTTGATCGCTACAACCAACCGTACGAAAACGCGTGTCCGCGTGTGTATACTGTATACCTCCGCTGTAATCTTCTTCTTCTAATATATAAAGTAAAGTGTTTGTGGCTTTGTTTCTCCTCGATGCGCGTCCCAACCGCTGGACCGATTGTTTGGAAACTTGCGCAGTCTGAGAGCCACATCGAGGTTATGGAGATAGGCATACCAAAAACCGCCAAGAAAGAAAGATGAAATTGATACTAAGCTTTTTCCGCATTTCGAACAAACATCGTCGTTTTGCTTGGACGACGACATCAATTGTATGATGGTTGTATGATTTTCCCACCCACTCCATTCAAGTAATTTTTCCACTTGGAAGTTTTACATTCGGCCGTTTCGAGCTCAGACCACAAAGCGACAACTCGACGGCGATTTCGTAGTCATTTGAATACTTCCATCCACCTCCTTTTCATCGACATCCTTTTCAAGCGGGCTCTAATCACACTATATCATGTATGATATACATATGTTAGGCGAGGCAATCTAACTCAGATCCTGTTTTCGGCAACGAAGTTCGTTCCCCAAGCGGAGGAAAAACGAAGCCTGCGCCCCTATAAGCAAGTGATTCTGCGAAAATGCGACTTCGCTCTTCATTGAACACTTCACGATCCCCGGAGCACGATGGACACCTGAACATTGGAGATCCCCAAGTCAGTCCGAGATCCGCCAACACCAAGAATGACTCCGAGGACCGAGGACTGCGTGGACGACAAGGAGCCTCAGGGATCTGGTTCTAACCTCCGAAGCTCTCGAAGCTACGCTGTTGTGGGATCATCCGTTCCCGCTAAGCGAATGAAGATGAGCACTGGTGCCGACCTCACGGATACGAAGGAGAAGTCCGATATCCCCGCAGAGGCCGGTCCCGTAGAGAATTAAATCGAGACTCTTGGTGACTGGTGACTCTGATGACAGTCTGCCCCCTGAGTTGAATGGAGACCGAATCTCACTCCACCAATTACGAAGAAGATAAGTAAGACAGCGAGCACCACGATACGTTCGAACACGCCGTGCTCCGACACATCTCAACGTCGATCCTTTTGATGCGCCCGTTATCGTCCACCTATGGAGTGCCCACGATGAAGAAAGGTCTGTGGAGGAGAAGCAAAAAGCTCCACGACGACACAGCAACCTTTTGTCAATAACCACAACTGCCGTGTTGGTGATTCAGATGAGGTTCGTTGCTCTACAAAGTCGTCGTTATGCTCGCCGGCAAGGGAGCCTTGATTCTCAGCGGAGTCAAAACCTTGGTTCTCTGCGGGATCGAAACTCAGGTTTTCCGCATTTCGAACAAACATCGCCGTTTTGCTCGGACTGGGAGACGACTCGAGCAGTCATTGAATCATAATTTTCATCACCTACATCCTCATGCGAATGAGAGAAAGAGCAGGAGAATGACGGGATGAGGAAACGCGGGAGAACAAAGGAACGGGAACTCGAGCCGCAAAAGCAACGAGAGAAAGAAGGCAAAGAAAGACGGCACAAGGTTCTAAACGGGAGAAACGGGAGAAGGGTGGGGAACAACTGGAAAAGAAATGGGCCTAGGGACGCCCAGAAAAACTGAATGGTACAAGGGAAAATGGATGGAAAATTTGACGCGGACACGGGCGGAACGACACGTCCCGAGGAACGGAACAAGGGACGGGAAATATAAAGGGAAAGGGGGCGGAAGAAATAATGGGAAGAATGACGGGGAAAAACGAGATACGGAACGAGAGAGTAAACGAGAGGAAGGATGCAGGAACGGACGGCACAAGATCAAATATTTTCCGTTGAATCATGATGTCAATGCTCTCATACGAAAGCCGGAAGGAACTGGAGACGGGACGGGAAAAGAGACGGGGAGGGAGACTGGGCAAGGAACGGGCAAAGGGACGCCTGCAAAGACGGTAAGGTAGACGGGGAAATCAATGAATTTGACGCGGATACGGACGGACGAAAAATCTACACTCAATCATTACACTAATATTTTCATCATCATGCGCATCATTCACTTCACTCAACCCATTCCATGCGGCAGCAACGCGCCGCTGGGCCCGACTAGTCGTTAATAATCTCAAGTGAAGTGTGCCCTAATCGAGTGACGATAGCTCAGGAGATATAATCGGAGAGGAGCAGAAAACTCGTAGACTTTCTCATAGCTTATAGCCGACTTTCTGCTGTTGTTACACGCGGTCAAACGAAATTTAAATTTTCAGTTTTGTATAAAATGCCGACATTCTCCACACATGCTACGGTTCTCCTAATTGTAAGACGCCCCGTAGAGGCCAAGTCACGGAACATCGTTCCGAAGTGAAAAAGCTGCATTAAGTTTCTTGGAAGCGAGACCCTCGACGCGAGATCTCATGGAGACGGGATCCGCGATGAGTCTCTCATACGCTGACATCTCTCATATGAAGTCTCTGATGACTCAAGAGTGCGTGCGGACACGGGGCGCGGCGATGGGATTCAGTATCTCACTCGCGTTCTCTCTCATCCGAGAGCTCGACCATGTTCGGCTCTGCGTCTCTGCTTTTGCGTTTCTCGATTCTTTGATTGACACGCGGTCTCGACGCCCTCTTATTCGGGAGCCATGCGTTGGGAGGCATTGCGGCCGGCACCCGGGCGTGACCCGTTTGGGCGCTTCGCGCCCTCACGGCATGATGAGTAAGAAACGTGTCCGTGACGAAACAGGAGCAATCAAGCTGAATCGAGCCTCGCCTTTGAGCACTCGTCTTCTGGGGATCGATAACGAGGTTCACCACGTCCAGGGGAGGAGGGCCAACAAGAGGACGATAAGGGGTGGAAAAATAAAAATTCAGTTTCCTAGTGCAGAGAATCGTCCTTAAACGAAAAACCTGTAGTTCATTCGGAGCCGCTCACGGAAGACATGTGCTCGAGGGGCACTTGCGGACCCTCCCAGCTCCCAGCTGGGACTGGGAGTCCCAGTCCTCCCCGAGAAAGGTCCCACGAACCGAACGAGTGTAAGAGAGCAAGGAACATTCCTGTCGGATGATTCCTCATGCACAGAGCGGCCGCTCGACGTCCTCCTCGATTGCCAACGGGGATGGGCGATTTATTCTGTTGTCGGGCCTGTTTTTGACCGGGGATGGGATCAATGCTTTACTGCCGGAGCGTGACTCCGCATCGCGCGATGGTTCACAACAGTGTCTGCCAGAAATATCGGAGATAATATATCGACGGGGCTTAAAATTCGGACACGAGGCTTCCTCGACGCGGCGTTCCGGTCCTTCCGTGTCCTTGAACTCCTCGTCTCTGCATCGTTCGATGATGATCCCTCAACCTATTGGGAAAAATTTATGCGCAGAGCTTTTCTTCCTAAACAACTGCGAGAATCCGACTCATAAATTCGCATCGCGCTCTGAATTCTTTTTGCTTTTCGAGTCCCTGACGATCGCTGAGAATAATGAGGATGGTTCAGCGAGCAAGTTTTCCGGGGAATCGTACTCTCGGACTTCACCAGCGTCCAGCACGAGAATCCTGAATTGATGAGATGAATTTCAGCGTGGTAGAGGACACGTTTCGCACCATCATGTTTTGGTCTCCCGTTCGAGCAGAATGCGGAAATTCGTCGTTGCGGGCTAAATGACACTCACTTGTCGTAATTCATGATTGTGTTGATTCTATGTGCGATTGTCATTATCGTGCAAGAAGCGAACTCTGTCTTGATCGTCTCTTGAATGAGAGAGTCGGTCTCGACGTCAACGGCAGCTGTCGCCTCGTCCAGCACCAATATCTTACTTTTCCTCAGGAGTGCTCTTGCCAAACAAACGAGCTGACGTTGCCCGACCGAGAGATTCTCGCCGCCTTCGATAACCTCGAAGTCAAGGCCTGAAGTTGAAATAAAACCCATAAGCATGAATCGGCGATACGGGTGGACATTCTTCCCAGTACTCCTTCGAGCGTCCTGTGGGAGCCTGGGGCACAAGACAGCGATCTGAAGGAAACTGCTCGACTTTCGCGGAGAAATTCAGAAGCATCTCCGCGAGGACTCATTGTCTGCCCCAGGACCGTTCCCATTCGTTCTAGATTTCAAGGTTCTCCAAATCTGTCGATCAAGAGGTCGTATCGTAGAATCGGAGGTTCTACGCGAGTTGCGTAGAGACCGTCGAGACCGGCAAGCAAGCGAGGTGGAGATCTCAATGTCCTCGACGGATCTCAATAGGTCTCCTCGGGAGGGATTCACTCTGAATTTTCTCTTCCAAACCTTCTGCGAACCTTTCTCTTGTTGACTGAAGAATGTTTTCAGGTGAGCGTGCTCTATGGCGTGCCACAGTTCTTCGTCTTTGTGAGCTCCGAACGGGTCGAGGTTCAAGCGCAGAGCTCCGGAGAACAATACAGGATCTTGTGGAATGATCGAGAGCTGCGATAGTCAGCGAAGAGACGATCAGATATCTCAATCACAGAATCAGACCACGGAGTTCTTCCATCGAATCGGTCGAATCACGGATCGTTCACCACTTACCTTCTTCCGTAGATCATGGAGACCGATGTCCGCTATCGGGATGTCGTCGATGACTATTCTCCCTTCAGAAGCTTCAATGATCCGGAAGAGTGCAAGAGTTAATGAGCTTTTCCCCGCGCCGGTCCGTCCGCAAATACCCACTCTTGCACCGGCCTCGATCTCGAAGTTTATGCCGCGAACTTCTCCATGAAATTTGCAAGCGAATTCGCATCACGTATCGTTCGTAAATTCTATCGTATATCATGATTCGGAAAATTCCTGACAACCCCCTGGATTCTGGAAGCTCCCCTTGCCAAGGAGCTACGGAGCCTTCCTGGTCAGAGTCCGAGCTCAGGACGATTCGCAGACTCACCCACGAGAGGTATACCTTCTCTGTACCTGGCGGAATAAGTCTCGAATTGAACGGCTCCTCCCGTTGGCCAGCCTTCGAGGGACTTGTCCGTGGTCCAGTCGGCCTGAAGAGTCGCGAATACGTGAATTCGCGCCATGGATATCGTTCGAGCTCAATTGCAAAACCTCGCAGCTCCTAAATGTCATGCGAACACACCTCGCTCTCTAGAGATATGTACTCCGACAGCCTCTCCACGGAGACGATGTTGACTTCTAAATCGGCGCTTGATCTTATGAAGGCATTCAAGCTCGTCGTTGCCTGGAAAGCATACGCCAAGCACAATCCCGCAGTACCTGCGTCGATGTCTCCTCGTGACAGCACGACAAACAGAGCAGTCGCGAAACTCACGCAAGAAGCACAGAGATCCAACCGTATCCCCAACCATCTGCAGACCATTATATCGAAGGATGTTAGCCCTGCCCCCGCAACTTGTTGTTCGGACCCCGAACTCGACTTTCGACCGACCTGTTGGCTGCTATTTGAGGGTAGTAACATTGGGAGTTCAAGTTGATCTTCTCATTCGACTCGCGTATGAAGTCCTCGGTTCTACCGTAGGCCCGGATGATCGAGGACCCTTGGAGTGTTTCACCGAAATGCGAGAATATCGGTGATCTCGAGGTGGATTCCAAGCGCCTGAGCTGCCGCGATGAGCTAATGTAGAGAAGCTGTGGAGGAATCGGACCTATCGGAACTCAGGGAGAGGAGTTTCGGCCGAATCACAGAATCCAAGAAACCTTGCCAACCTGAACCAGATAATACAGAATTCCGATTGGTATCACTACGAGGATAAATGGAGGCAGATTGTATGATATGACGAATAGGATCGCAAGGAGGCCGAGGAAGTGTTGCACCAGAACTCTCATGTCTTGCGGAAGATTTGTATCCAAAACCTCGATGTCGCGCGCGAACCTGTGAAGAGTTTTTCTCTCAGATCAATCATTGCCATGGATCATCTTGGGATTAACAGTTCCCAGAACGACACCAACGAGAGCTCGGCCATACCTGTTGACGATGCGACCGATCGGTGTCGTGTCGAAGAATGACATCGGAGCCCGCAGAATGGAAATGAGAAGATTGTCGTGGAGTTTCCTCGATGCCGACAATGACGAGAGGGAGATGACGAGCACTCCGAAAAAAAGCCCGACGGCTTGACCGATTCCCAGGAATCCGAAAATCATCAGGTTAAAGGTGCCGTTCTCTGTTGCCCAGATAGAAGGAACTCATTCGATCGACTGCTCATCCGTAAGTTTGAAACCCAGAGCGGCGCAATTCGTCTGACGGTTTTTTCTGAATCCGTTCGGAGTCTTGATCATCGGGAAATACCTGTGGACTTGTCCTTCGACCACACGTTCAGCCAGAAGCTGGATCCGACTTGAAACGCTGTTGCACTGAACATGGTCAGCATGACAATCGTCGCCGGGAAGAAACCGACTTCTCGAAGGTATTCGCCGAAAACACGACGTTTGACTTTGCCTAGATATTGGAAACATTCGCGAGGTCACGCAAGCTAGGCTATCGAGACAATAGCGGAACTTACGAGTTTCATTCAGACTCACCGCTCTCGGTGTGCTCTTTCGTCACAATTTTCCCGATTCCCAGCTCCTTTCTCTGGATCCCTGACTCCTCTCCCGGAAGGGATTCCCGTCGGAACGTCTTACCTTGAGCCTTCTCTGAATCGGATGATACTTGACCGATTTGTAGAATCAGGCTCCGGAAATCACCTGGAAGTGAGACGTCTATTGAGACGTCGGACCTAACGCGCTTGGACTCGGAACATCCCTTTGCAATATGCATTGTCCTTAACGGGGAGCTCCATTATAGGGGAATCGGTTCTCGTTACACAGATTTCGTTAACCTTTGGAGCGCATGAGCTCGTCAAAACTCCCGATTCGAGATATGGAGCCGTTCTCCATTACGACTACGCGTTGCACTTCCGTGAGGTACTGTATCCCATGCGTCGCGAAGATTCTGGTTTTCATTTTCAGAATTCCCTCGTTCCCAATAATCTGGAACCATCCTCCACTGAGAAGAACTCCTCGAAGACAGCTTTCCTGCGATCATGAAGTGGGATCGAAGATATAGGGAAATCCGTCGTCACTGAACTGACCGTAGAGAATATTCGAACCCCCACGTTGGAGTCCACCGCAGATAGGGGATCGTCGAAGAGGTAGATGTCCGCATCCGCGTACACTGCGCGAGCGATACTGACCCGCTGCTTCTGCCCACCGGACAAATTGATTCCCTGCAAGACTTTGGTCACCTTTCGAGTCTCATTCATTTTGATTTCCCCTGTGCAGATTAGATCCTATCCCATTTCAGGCCTGTACCCGAGATAGACGAAGGTATCGATGGAATAAGCGCCAAATGGATGCCACCACTGTGGGACGCAGACTTTCCAGACTTCAAACGAGATCCGACTCACTTTTTCGCCAATCTCAGTTTGGTCACCGGCGGGTAGCATGCTTATGTCCTCAAGAAGTTCGCAGCGTTGCAAAATATCCCAGTATCGCTCATGATCATAAGGTTTTCCGAAGAGTACGTTCTCTCTGAGACTCGCGTTTCGCAACCAGGCTTGCTGTGGAACATACGCCACACTCCCGTGGGCTCCCACATCCCCGCTCAACTGGAAAAAAAAACCTGCAATACTCCTACATACGTATGTGCACCTTGTACAGGCAGAAATTGGAGCGAGCCGCCCTTCCTCGAGCCAGTATTGAATTATTATCGCCTCTCGCTGTATTCGTTGGTCGATGAAATAGGTGTTCAGGTTACCAGATTCATTTCGCCAAGCATAGCCGAAATCAGGGAGCTCTTCCCTTCTCCAACCCGACCGATGACAGCGAGCAGTTCCCTTCGGGTGACATCCAAGCTTATGTCCTTCAAGATTGCTTCTCTGCCTTCCCAAGAAAGAGTTGCGCTGCTCATCGACAAGGTATAGCCCGTCGAGCCGGCTGCAAACATAACACGGTCGTGAGCGCTCGCTCCGGAGTTCCCTGGGTTCCCGGAAGACGGGAAACTGGCATCTGCGAACAATCTCGGAAGCTATCACATCCTTCTCAACCAGGGCAAAGAATTCATATGATCCTCGCGAAAATAATTAGGAAAATATCGCTCCGAAATCGGCGAGCATCATCTCGATTATTCTAGCGGAGAATCGCTGGCGAAAAGTGCCCGAGATGAGTCTCTCATACAAGGAGATTCATGATGTGGGTACTCAGAGACTCACGGGAGGAGAATTCTCCTCTCTCATTCATGAATATGGGAAGAGGTGGAATCGACCAGCCTTAGAACGCCAAGATTTTCTCATCGTTGCGCTGCCTATCTGCCGACTACTTTGTAGTGGGGGCTTTGGGGAATCGCCATCTTGCTCTAGTTAATGAGGTGACTCACCATGTTTCACGAAAAGTTTGAGCTCATCAGCCGACAGGAAGTCATCGAGTCTCTTCAGTGCAACGCTAGCTTGAATGAGGCTACTGATCAAGTTCGGCAACATCGTCAAAGGTACGCGCAAATTTTGGTAGAGGGCGAGCGTGGTGAAAACAACCTCCGCTGTCAATAATTGATTCCGATTCAAGAGAATGAAGGCGGCAAATGTCACGAAGGTCACCTATTCCAAAGGGAATCACGATTTTTTTCCGATTCGATTGACGAAATTCGCAGCTCTCATCGATCTACAAAGCGGACAAGTTGGCAAGTCCCGGGAACGATGCAACATTGAGCAATTACCGCGAAGGGCGCGAAGTACCAGAGCATCGTCAGGAAGGCCCGCAGGTAGGCGATCTTCCTCAGCTTGGAGAGCTCCTGCGATCGGATGACGTGTACTACCCTCTCGAAGCCAAGCTCCCAAGCATACAGCTTGAGCACCCTCATGCCGTTGAGGATTCCGTTCATGACTTTGATTCTTCCGTCCTGGTCCTTCATTTGCGCTGCCTGCCGGGGCAACGAATTTGGTTCGGATAACAGAACAACGGTGGCGATTGCAGTCGCAGAGCTTTAGTGGAGTAGCCGATTGAAACAATGCCCCGGGAAATCAGCTCTCTCCAATGTGCGAACATGCAACGATTTGTCCCCGATTCCAGGTATTCTCTGTTTGTTGGGGGGGGGGATCGTGGCTTGTCCTTTTGTGAGAATGGGCTGATTCCGGCCTATAATCCTTCTGACTCTAAAATCGAGAGGGAGTATTTCAATCCTCCGCGGTGCACCGTGAAGCGAGAGCTGGAAATCGAGAACAGAAACATCCCGCCCCCCCCCAACCCACTCGACTTTGGACATCGGTCCATTATGGACCTGCCAACGACAAATCATGCGCGAGGCATCTGAAAAACGGTCGACCTGCAGTGTCTGTGCTACGAGTAGGTCCTTCCAAAGGCACCAGACTCACCAAGGCAGCTTTTTGTGAGGAAGCAAGGCAGACACTGAGGGGGAGCAAAATCGTCATGAATAGCACTCCGGCTCCGACCGAAACTCCCAGGTCGAGATAGATGAGGGTAGCTACGGCTAGAATCTGCAGCGGCGTCGACCAGAGCATGTGTGCTGTGTGAATTGTGTTCCGGAGAGTTTGTGCGTCATTTGACATCAGATTCACGATTTCTCCGATGGTCTTCTGCCGACGGCCCTCCGGCGAAAGCCGTAACGATTTCTCATAAACGGCAGCGATGACAACGATTCGCACATGCATCCCTGCGGAAAATCGAGAGAAGTCTTAGTTTTCCGCGCCATTTGACGAACCCTATCAGGAGCATCCCCTGACTAATGCCACTTCTCACCGAGTTCGAAAATGCGCTGGAAGAAACCGTGCGCGAAGACCGTCTGCACAACCGTTGAGAGAAGCATGACGACTGCGTAAGCGATTCCAATCCAAGTCGGTCGGTCACTGTCTATGTGCCTCATAAGCGCCTTCATCATGAGTGGACCTGATTCCGGATATATAGTGTTCATCGATACCACTAGACCAATTAACGTTAGAGAGATCTATCACGTGCTTACAGGAATGGATACAGGCGGGAATTTCGGAATCCCCCCCCCCGTTTCAGCGAGCATTGCGAAGAAGCCATTCAGACCTACCAGAATAGTTGAGGCTGTCCCCTACAACTCTGAGCAGTCCGGCGATGAGGAATGGAGCCAAGAAAGTCTTCACCAGAGCTCTCAGCGACGAACCCGTCTTACCGTCCTTTCGAATCCTGAAACGACCAAGAATACCCTGGAGCTTCAGATGTTGCCCCTGTCGTCACCGAAAATGCATGCAAACGATCTAACGAGTTTTTTTCGAATCTCACGATGGATTCTCCAACGGGAACTCTTCCTGAATGTACATCCGGAATCGCTTCATCTGGAACTCCACACTGTCTTCCTCGCTGAGGGTCCACAGGTCATCGGTTGTTACTTCGCGTTTATACCCGTTCCAAACAAACGGAGTTACCCAATGGAAGAAAAGTCTCGATATGAAAGAAGCCGAGCTCTGAGGACGTCCCTGAAGAGAAGAAATGATTCCCAGGTGGCTCAACTCCGGATTTGCTCATCGTGTATTATGCCCCGAGGCGAGCCTCCGCATTGCTCAGGTATCCCTGAATTTTATAGGAAACTAGCGCTCCCGGTCGCCGCTTCGCGGCGACTCGGTATCGCTAGACTCACTACACATGCGCTAGCTCCGAGTGCGCTGGCTCCGAGTGCGCTGGCTCCAAGTGCGCTGGCTCCAAGTGCGCTGGCTCCGAGTGCGCTGGCTTCGGGTGCGCTTGCTTTGGTCGCGCGTGCTCTTGGTGAGCGTCCCGTTTCCCTGCTTTCCCGTTTCCCTGCTTTGCCGTTTCCCTGCTTTCCCGTTTCCCCGCTTTCCCGTTTCCCCACTTTCCTGTTTCCCCGCTTTCCCGTTTCCCCACTTTCCTGTTTCCCCGCTTTCCCGTTTCCCCACTTTCCCGTTTCCCCACTTTCCCGTTTCCACACTTTCCCGTTT